GTGAATCTGTCTATAACATTTCTATAAATACAAGATTGATTTTATGACAAATACTACTTCAAATTACAAATCTTTATAAACTGAATTGCTTCTAAATACTTGGCTAGTTAACTATTGATTTCATTTATTTTTGATTTTTGATTTTTTAAAGGTTTTTATTTTTTAAAGTTATTTTTTAGAGGAAAATCTTTTTTTAATCTTTATTTTGTATGAAAATTATTTTTCATGGAAAAACTTTTTTAAAAGTTATTTTGTAGGGATAGATATTAAACTTTTTTTGCGTGTTAAGATTTTTTTATATACTTGGCGTATTTTTTTTTTACCTTGTGAGTTTTTAATTTTGAAAAAAAAAACTAATTTTTTGCATTCTCTATTATAGATACATATGTCAAATATGCATTTCTGAGAATACTTAGCTTTGCAAATATATGTACCATGGATCTTCTATGTATATTTTTCCGGTTACATTTGCACATATATTTCATATTCTATGTACGTACATTGCATCAAGGATGTATATACATGAAATATGCAATATATATAAATGTACATACATTGTATATACTGAACATATTTTAATGTTTTGTGGGTATTTTGTATGTACATGTCATTATTTATTACAAAATGAATGAATATGTATATTTTATTCGCGATAAAAAACGAGAAGGTCATACAGATAAGAGTAGACGTTTTGCTGCAATAGCAAGTCAATAGTTTTTACAATTCCGTCCGTAAAATTAAATTTTTATTACGTTTTGTTATCAACAAAAAAATGGGACCAATTGCCAAAATGATATTTTGGATGATGTGTTTTCTGTGCATCGTCACGCCATTCTTGGAAGCTGCAAGAATCTTAGCAATTATTTCGTTACCATCCTACAGTCACCAAGTTGCTTATCAATTATTATGGACAACTCTAAGCCGACGAGGACACGAACTCGTTGTTCTAACAACGGATCCAGTTAATGATCCTAGCATCACAAATTTAACAGAAATCGATTTCCATTACAACTATAAGGAAATAAAAAGTGCAAGTTTTGTTAAAACCATGGAGCAATCTAGATGGATAAATCTAGAACGTAACCAGTTCTTCAATATAAGCCATGTATTGACAGAGAATATTTATAAACATTCAGAAGTACGTAAAATGTATGCACCAGATAGTGACCAAAAATTTGACGCGGTAATTATAGAAATTATAAAGACACCTGGTCTTTATTCGTTGGCGCACAGATTTAATGCACCTCTTATAGGTAAGAGTAATGATAAAATCATATAGCATATATATTATTAACCATTTTTACGCTTTACCTAAACAATAAATTATTTGGAATCAATTTAAACTGAAGTTTTTCTTAGCAAAAATATCAAGAAAAATCATAACTTAATGAAACTTAAATTTTACAATTTTTTTCTAAAATTAGCTGATGAATATAGTTCTATTATCAATTTGGCTTAATTAATATAGATATTTATTGTCATTTTTTGTGTTATTATTACGAAATTCAAAGAAAGTTAAATATGATATAAACTAGTAATTAGCTTAATTACTTTTTATATATCATAAATGTAAATGATGTATTCAAAATATTGTTTTTCGCGAAGACATTTAAATTAAAACATTTGGTTTAAATAATCACATTTACATAATTCATTGCGTAATGTTTGCATTTGTTTATAGGTATATCATCAGTAAAATTGTATAATTATGATTATTATCTTCTTGGTGCACCCGTTTTGCCATCACATCCTTCAAGTTGGGAAATGGGGAAAGCTACAGGTTTTAATCTATCCTTTTGGGAGAGATTAAATAATTTTATTCAACTGTGGTATTACATATATTACGTGTTGAATCATTTTTTTGCTGAGCAGCAAGCAATAGCAGAAAAATATCTCGGAAAAAATATACCAGACATACGTGACATAGAGAAAAACATGAGTATTGTGCTTCAAAATGAACAAGAAGCTATCTCTTTTATAAGACCGACAATGTCTAATATTATAACATTTGGAAATTCGCATATTTTAAAACAACCTCCAGCTTTACCGAAAGTAATTATTGCATTCAAACGATGTTATTAAAAATTATTATTTATACTCAATATATTTGCTTCATACAAAGCTACTGTTGTTTTTTATGTATACATATTCCTTTTTCTAGAGAAAATACGTACAAGTAAATATTATTGATAATTTTATCTTGTTTCAGGATTTGAATAAATTTTTGGCAGATGCACCAAATGGATTTATTTATATGAGCCTAGGTACAAATATAGGTATGTCAGAGTTTTCCAAGCACGTGTTAAACGCATTTCTTGATGTCTTTGCAAGTTTGCCATACAAAATTGTGTGGAAAATAGATAAAGAATTAAGAAATAAGTCTGATAATATTTACACCGCTAAATGGTTTCCTCAACAGAGCCTTCTTGGTAAATCTATACAAGTGCTATAAGTAAAAATCTAAAAAGATTAATAAAAATGTATTCCTTCTTTTATACAATATGTGGTCATTAATCACCTTTTGCTATGCTTTTCACTTTACAGCTCATCCAAAAATTAGATTGTTTATATATCAAGGTGGACTTCAAAGCACGGAAGAAGCTGTTTATAACACGGTACCACTTATAGGAATACCAGTTATTGCCGATCAGTATTATAACGTTAAAAAAATGGTATCTCTCGGAGTTGCGAAAGAATTAATTTTTCAAAATATTTCGAGAGAAATTGTAAACGCATCCATAATAGATATCTTAAATGATAAAAGGTAATTACTTTTTGCGCAAATAGTTTTTTATGCAATAAATCTTATTTTATAAATATGACAAGTTACTAATTATTTTCACAGAAATCTAATTATTATGCAATATTACATCTTAATAGATTCTTACATAATTAGGATCAAAATATAATTCTAAAACAGAAAAATTATACATTTTTTTAAAACGTACTATTACTTTTTCTCTAGATATAAAGAAAGAATGCTTAAACTTAAAGCAATGAATGAAGATAAGCCTAATAATTTATTGGAAAATGCGATTTGGTGGATCGAGTTTGTAATTCGTCACAAGGATGTTTCTCATTTTCGTTGCAGCATTGCTTATGATCCTTGGTACCAGAGATATGATATGGACATTATAGCAGTTTTATCAATTGCCATATTTGTAATATTATTTTGCACATTAGTAATAATCTATAAATTGTTAAAAATAATATTTAATTGTAATACAAAAAAGCAAGTAAATGTTACAAAAAAAAATAATTAATTTTTTTAGATGCATAGGATAATTATAGCATAAGTATATTTGATATATATAAATCTATCGTTTTATAAAAAAATTAAAAAATATCAGAAACATCTATCTAACATCTATTTATATTTCAAACATATTTATGAGATTTAAAAATACATTTTGTTGTGCTGCAAATAATCGAAGATAATATATTCGATTTCAAAATCTTAGCTCTTTAAAATTAAAAAAAACAAAACAAAAGAATATAAAAAATATTTAAACATATATGCAAAAAGAGGTATATTTGTTGGCACCCATAATATATAGCGTAGTTATTTCAAATATTTCTTACATACTGCTATGTATAATAGTATTTAAATTATATCACCCACAATTGCATGGATTTTTTTAAAATTACATATTTTTTCTTTTTTCTATATTATCATACATTTTTAAGCTCTGACAATTTCCAAAAAAATCGATATAAAAATATGTGATGCGAAATAAGATAATAAAAATATAATAATAATATATATATAATATAAAAGGTAATAAAAATATAATTGTAAAAAAATTATCTGTTGTTTTATTTGACTTAATTATTATCTGACTAATTAACCCATCAGACTGATTGCACTTCGTAGATATATTTATAGTACAAAAACAATTTTTCATTGTAATCTATTTCTGTCTTTATATATATGCTTTATCATAAGATCCTATGTTACAATATATGTAAAAAATAGAAGCAAAACGAGTCGTCTTAATCGTCAGACTAAAAACTATTTTCAACTTTAATTGGCTCTTTGTATTTGCGTTCTTTAACTTTAACTTTATATTGCTCACTTCGATGAGTTACTTTTCTATCCCACTACAATTTCTATCACACATTGGAATTATGCATGAAGGAGAAAAGGTAGATACCATGAGACAAGAAAAGACCACTAGCTCCTGTATCTTACGAAGTATGTTGCCTGAAGGATGGAAAGATTCGAAGAGGCGGGTGCAGCTATCGCAAAAAAGTACCCTATTACGAAGGCACCGTTCGAGATACTCGAGACCTCGTCTTTTTCCTACAAAGAATGTAGAGTGCGATAAAACGGCGTTCGGAAAAGAGCGACGGATAACAGAGGCGAACAGAGTCATATACGTCTATGACAGCTACATCAGGATAGAATAAAGTAACTCTCATGATACATGCATTCGGTCTTAAATCAGTTTTCATTTAATTTATTTGGTAATGTGGCGCTTATATATATGTATAATATGTATTTAATGGTCCAAGTCAAGCATCGTAACGAGTAATATTAAAATTTTGATATGTCAAAAAACGTAACTGTGCAAATAAAATATTTATAATAATTGCTATTGCTTTTTGTATTATTTTTGTATTGATAAGACATATATAATTCATAACTGATATAGGACATGATTTTTATGTTAAAGAGTAATTAAGCTATATTTTCAGTATATGAAAATAGTTATGTATAAATTAGAAAATATTAGGAGCTTACAGATATTAATAACATATAGTTATTTTCTCTTTTTACGTGGAAAAAGTGTATTAAGTATGGAAATATAACGCGATTAATTTTATGACTTATACTTTTACGTATGCTTAGATAAAACGATATTGCCTCGGCGAACTGATAAATACGAAATTACTTCCTATTTCATGTAATCGTATAATTCGAGATTCCATGGTATATGCCTGTAGAGAAAGTCGTAGATACCGTGGGATAGTTTTCTACACAGCGGCACAAATTGCAACGCTTTACGCCTGATGAGATCGCATAAAGTCAGCGCAGATCGATATCGTCTTAAGAAATACAGCGCCCCGAACCGCTTTCCTTCGAATCCAATTAAGCTTAAAGGGCTTTCAACGTGTCCATTCCGGAAATTATGCCACGGTAATTTCTTTCAGCACTTAAGTCGCGCGTTTATCGTTTAATTTGTATAGCTAAATAGCCACGGGCTATATATATATATATATA